CGAGCCGATGCAACGTCGCCCGATCTGATGCAGTTTACCCGATCAAGATAACCCGGTTTAACATGGATGATTCCGGCGTTCATTGCCGATGCAACCAGACTCGCTAGCTAAATCGACGGTCGGAAGAGGCTGGCGACACACGAGTTCGAGGAATCTCGATGGAATGTCAGAGTAGACCTTTTTAAACTCGCGGCACACAAGTTAGACATCGCGGTGTTGAAGCAATCAACTCTCCTCAACTGGTTGGTGGATTATACAGTTTGCAAAAAAAAAAAAAAAAGAAGCTACATGAGAATAACTACAATTTACAAACAAAAAGCAAACTATTTCTCACAAAGCTCTGGCTTTATCCAGATATTAACATATACGGATTTATTAACGCTGTTTTCTATAGATTAAAATTGGAAAATTAAAACAATGGCGTTGATTAAAATTATAGAGGACAACGGTAGTGTAACACGGCATTAATGGCAGGAACCGTGTGAGTTATTGGTATGCAATATCGGGATACGCAGAGGAAAGCGTAACAGGGGAAAGATACGACGAAAACAGCTATTCGCGAACAGGACTGGGTATGCCCGAACGAGAATACAATCAGGGATATATTTTCTATTTCCCAAATGTGTGCGTTCCAATCACGTTCACAGGTACGGTTACACGATTTATATTTATGTCGATCCTAACCATGTATTTTTTATTTGTACACCGATTCTACACGTAATTTAATAGTCGCAGAGTTCACAAATTGACAATCTATCAATTTAGAATTTTCAACAAAAACTAATATTCGTTATGGGGCGCGTGTGGGTAACAGTTTCAGCCGTTTCTAAACGCGTTTGTTGTCCAACCATAAATGTACAAACGCCCAATTGCGGGGTTAATCTAAAATTTATTCAGCCCCGTGTCTATTTCCGTGATTAACAAATGTCTATTATATAATTTACTAAACATGTTTCTTCACAGAATAAACGTTCGATGAATTTGTCCGTTCATTGAATTTCAATATAAAAAATTTAACGCGTATCATAGTTGCGTTATAACGCTAATTGAAGTACGCGTAAAACTTACGTCGTTTTGTAAAATAGTTTGTAACTATCTCGTACGATTTTGAGGAATGAACGTTGTCCCAGGATGAAGAATACAAACATCAAAAATATTATACAATTATACCCAGATTCTTAGAATTGTATTAAAATCACTCACACTGAATTCAATAATTTTTCAAAACTTTTAAAAATTATTAAAAATTTAAATAAATTTTCTAACAACTCTAAAAAGCTTTCGAAACCTACACTACCCAGCAATACGTTTCAGAGGTCATCTCCAGCTAATGTAATCTTCAATCCAAATAATTTACCCTAACACCAAAAATACCTGCAGAGGGTCAAAGGTGTTACCTTTAGGTCGAGACCTCGTGCTCTGTAGTCTTTTGGAGCAACCTGTTATCCCTAGCTAGTCGTTGATCTCGTCTCAAACCAGTTTTCTGACCCTCGTTTATAATAGAACTACAATGACGATATTATACGGCACGTCTGCAATAACCGGTTCTTCGCTGGGGGTCCTTACAGAGGAAGAAGAAATCGTTCAAGAAACGATCTGTTTGCACGTTTCTCAAATCAATGCGATCCTTCGTGCCATTCTACTGCTTAGCTTTATTCATTAGGACGATATTCTCACGAAAGGGTGATGTTATACGATAACTCGAAACGAGAGGTCATTGTCTGAGCATTCGAGTTTCAAGGGTCGGTTCTTAAACTTTCAGAAAAAAATAGCTCGAGGGAAATGAAAATCCGATGGATTGATATCTAAGGATAGACGATAAACTGCTGCATACGAAATTGTGGGATTGCTTCGTAAGAACTGGAATTAAATTCATCGTACTATATGCAGCGGGTTATTAAGAGATCTTTCTTCACAAATGATATCGTGTAAATATGTACGAGAAGGTGCCTCGTGAGAATTTTTATTTTAATGTTCTAATATCATTCGTTATATTATTTCTTTGTAGTAATATTGAAATTGGAATTAATTATTTTTAAACACGAAAGTTATAGTTATAGTATTCTTTAAAAAAAAAAAAAAAAAAAACAATAAGGTGATTCAAACGTTTAGATAAAAATATTTAATAGAATTCTTAAATTGAATTTCTTTAATCATTTTGTTTGTCTACCTTACAAAAATTGTTTTGTAGAGTGTAAGGAAACAGCGGTATACGATTGATAGTAAAAAAAGTTCTACATACTTTTTTGAGCATGATTAAGTAATTTTCAGATATTATCAGTGCTCCAAGTTATGATTAAATTATTTTCGTAATAAACGGGCACTGTGGTTTTATTACCAATTAATGAGACGTAATGACTGCTCATTTTGGGCGTGGCGAAAGACACAATGCCGGCGAAAATTTGTTAATTTCTATTTGCGCAAGTATTTTCCGCAAAATTCATTCCAACCATTTTCCGACACGACCTGGAAGGACTGATATGAGAGAGAACTTTGTGCAAGTTGAAAGCACGGCATACTGAACCGCAAATAGTTCGAGGCGCAAGCACGAAAAGTTCTCACAGACGTATCATGAGACGTTCTGAAACGGAGCTTGATAACGTCGTTGTTTGTTTGAACATGGAACAGCGACGTGTTTCCTCAAGAACTTTTAGTTAACCGACATAGCTCGCAAGAAGTACAGAAAAGCGTTTTAAAAAGCATTTTAACTGAAATATATATATTTATTGGTATTAATATTGACACTTCTCAAAACTTCGTTTCCAGACCATAGAATGAACAAAAAAAAAAAAGAAAAAAATATTGAAGCAATAATTTCACTTTTTATTATTTTACTGGAGGTAAAATTATGGGAAAATTTAATTAACTTCGAAACGACATATTTTTCACAAATTTTTATCCCTAGTGTGTAATAATACTTGTTTAAATGCTTTGCATGAATTAGAAATTTGTAGAGAAAGGGATCAACAAATTATTGCATTCATATACTAACCTCGGTGTTATTTGTTATTAAATTTGTATAATAAAGAAGTAAAAGAAATTCAATACGAAAGAAAAAGTAACAATATTACAATAAGAAAAAATAAGTTTACTAATATCGGTCATTAATTAAAACATATATTATTTTCAATAAATATATTATATTGATTACAATTATTCATCGAGAAATAATATTATTAATTAGCTATAATACCGAGGAATGTCTATATTATATTTATATAGCTAGTCCAGAAAAATATTTCCGGATAGACAATTTTTATCGTATGTAAGAATTAATTTGGATTTACTTAATTATAAATTATGAGTTATTAGTAAAATACGGAACGAGATTATATTTTTGATGAGAAAAATATTGTCTTTTCTAATTTTTCCACATAAAGGGTATTAAAATAGATAAAAAATTCATTTCCAAAAAAAATTAATATTAAATTCTAAATAGTGGGAAACTTGTTCAGATTAAATAACTTTTAGATTACAGTAAATTAATTGTAAATCAGTTCGTGGAAATAATATTAAAATGCTTGTCATTATGAATATCCTTGGAAACATTTATATCGTAAAAGTATAAAAATTTGGTGGAGAAAGAAAAAAATATTAGCTTAAAGTGCAATTAAAAGAAACGAGCGCGTAAATCGAGTAAGTAGAAGGTGCTATATTACGACTTACGTCTACCTTCGTTTAATTCTATTGCAGCTTCACTTTTCCTCTCGCGAAAGTCTTAATTACATCTCCTGCGATATTTCTTCCATATGCTTAAGCTAAAGAGTTACTCACCTTCTTCTAAATTGCAGTGAAATTTATTTCATCTACTTATGTCTTTAACTTTATTTCACTTTTTATTTACACCTTTAATGAACGTCTTCGTTCTTGAACGATTATTTTTAATTGTAAAATTATCACAGCAAAGTTCTGCTTTGTTTCTATCGCGTTTTTGTTTTTGTTAGACGTAAAGTGAGTTAGTAATATAAATTCATTAAGTATTATTTTACTATAAGCTAGATAAAATAGAAATGAGAAATGAGAAGATTATTTAATAATAAGATATTATGGTCGTTCTAAATATTTCAAGCACATACGTAATACATGTATAAATAATATATCAGACGTTATCACATGGAAATAATTTATGAAAAAAGATTCCGATAATTTATTGAAAAGATAATGGGATAAAAGATAAAGGATATAACTAAATTATTTTGCCCCCTGAGGAAAATTGTTTTTCATTAATTATATTTAATAGAAGCACATATTCTAAATGTAAAGTAAATGTAAAAAAATGTAAATATCGTAAAGATAAAATGCGATAAAATATTAGATGAATGTCACCGAAAACAAATAAGTTTATCTTCTACTTAATTATATATTAATTTATCAAAATACAATGTTAGATATATCTACGTAATATCAAGGGCGAAAATGCTGAGAAGAAAAGAGGTCTCTTTACGATACTACTCTTAGTAGGAATTTTTCAAAAGTATTCATGTACAACGAACCTAAAGAAATTTCCAGATTTCTCTTCTATCGACCATTTGAACTCTTAGGAAGTCGCTACATGTTCAACAAAACTATACAATCGAAAATAATAAATTATTCATAATAGATATTAAACTAGTAGGCTGAACGAACTTGCACTCTTCATCTTCCATTTCATTATATCTTTCATTAAATTTCAATCCTTAATTCACTTTGGCGCTCTCTTCTGCAAGAAGCTAAGAATACCATCAGTTCCACCAAGTGGAGAACTCGTGAACTTCTGCAGCATCCTGCAGACGCCTGCAAGGTCTGCACGCGGAACACGGGGTACGATGGAGGGGGTTGAGCTGCAGCTTTATTGGGGGTCCAACAATGATCGGTTGCTCCACCATAAAAGGTCGTAGCTGTACTAGCACGCCATGCCTCCCTTTCCAACTCTATCTCGTTCCGGTTCTTCGCCAGCTCTATGCAAATCGTTCGGCGACCAGGCTCAAGATCGAAGAACGCGCTGCGCTGCTCGATCAGTTGAAAATCGGCCGCTGTTCGACACACTTGGTTTTCCTAAACGGTGACGAACTCGTGAATTTGTCTGATAGTCGCTTGCAAGACGATCGAGCAGTCATGTCGAGTAAGACGGTGTCGGGACGTGGACGCGGAGAAAAATGGCGGGAAAAATCGGAGCGTGCGTGGGCGCAGGATCGATGAAGAGCGCAAAATGGCGACGCGAGAAAGCAGGCAGAGAGAATCGACGAAGAAGGGAGAGGGTTCGTCGAGGAAGGGGATGAAGGAGCAGTCGAAGGGAGCGCAGGCGGTTTGGAATGGGTGACTAGGAGAACGGTGAGTATCGGAGGTGTAAAAAAAGAGAAAAAAAGAGAAGGAAGAGGGAAAAGAAGGGAAGGAGGGAAAAAATTGAAGCCACCGTTGAAATCGAACCCCTTTCTAGGTCAAGGATGCCGAGAGTGAAAATCAAAGAGCGCCTCCGCTCTCCGATCGTAGACGGTCTCGGTTATACTCTTCGTTTTTTTCCCCTCTTCTTTTGTCCGGCAAATGAAATACCATTGTATGAATTCCCTATATATACTCCGTCGGCCGTCGTGTTATGATATCGTTAAATTTATCGATAGAGACGAGAGCCACTTTGATTGCAGTACGTATACGCTTAAAGCGAGCTAACCGTTATGCAAAGCTATTCTTTTTGCTCGGCCATGCGAAATTTTTCTTCAGATATATCGACGTTTATCGTTATGTTCGTTTGCATTATTAGTGGTCTCTATTCGTTTTTCGTTTAGACAATCGTATTTGGATTTTCGTGTGCAGTATTCTTTCGAAGAATTTGGAATCGCTGGAGTTTTAGCGAAATTGTAGAATCTCTTATAGTCTAACTCCGTTGGAATTTCTGTAGATCTGTAAAGTTATTTGCCTAGTTTTAATCTCCAAATTGATAAAAAAAGTGGACCGAAATTTGGACGAACAATACTGTTAGCTTACACATTTCCATTGATTCTAATTTATCCATAGAGCATTCCGTCGTTAGATCGATTTCTTTTATATTGAGAAATATTTTTATATTAGCAAGCAGTTATCTTCATTATTCGTTAATTTATTCATATTTTAAACATAATGATAAAATACATAATCGTTGAATGAATGAAACATAAAATGATGAAAATGTACTTGATTCGATCGGAAGAATTTCCGCATTAATAAAATACTATAAATTCTTTTACGTTCTATACCAGAACTGTTTGTTTACCACTAATATAAGAGAAGTCTAGCATTTTTTTAAATAATATCTTTATATATCATAATAGTATCTGAAGAAAGAAAAGCAAAATTTACATTCGGTAGTAAATGTGTTAATAATTCGCATCATTTATTAATATTTCCCCCGTTCACCCATCCGATCTTTCTAACATGTCATTTTCATGTTTCGTTTGGACAAAAGCTATTAGTAAATTGCGGATATTTATGCAAATTTACATCCTCGTGAATATAATTTGAGAAATGAGAACTGTTATTTATTCATCAAATGTACGATAGCAAAGAATTGTATATTTTGCTGATTCTGAACATTTTTAACCCTTTGATAGTGTCAATCAGAAAACTCGGACAAGTTGCGAAATATGAAATCTTAAATGCCATCGTCTATGACGCGATTATAATCTTCATATCTGATATCAGAAACGTACACGATCATAAAAGTAAAGAGATAATTTTGTCTAAAATCGTTCTAAATTCTTTCGTTATTTTATTACACTGTCGAAGAGTTAAATATCGCACGTAATCTGTACAATTCCACGTGTTTAAAGTTCCCGCAAATGCATAAATATCCATTAAACTAGTACAAAACACGAGGTTAAAAAACTAAATACATTGTCGATTAAAAAACAGAGCAGAAGCAGATGCTTCCAATTGGAAGTCGTTAGCGACTTATTCCCCTTCGACTTCCTCCTTTATCTCGTGCACGAGAAACTCAGCAATTCCGTATGCGCGTGTCTCCTTGGCTCTAGACGGATATCGGTTCACCTTGTGTCTCGACGTGAGATTCATTAACTTACACGGGCGCGGCAACCCGTTCAGTCCGCTCGAACTCCACGGAAAAGTGTAATCGACAAAGTTTATCGAATGGCAGAAGGGTACGAAAAGGGTCGTGGACGTGGGACGAGTACGTGGCAGCGATTTTCCCTCGTTCCTCTGGAGAGTAGCCGCGTCGCTCGTGGTTGGTTACCGCTGCTCGTTTCCACGACAGCTCGTAAAATAGGAACGGTACGCCCACGAGACTAGGCGAGAACCATAGACTCCGAAGGCTCGGTTAATTAGACACCGAATCGATCTTTGCCGCTGTGCCCGGAGTATTTATTAAAAAGGCGACGATACCTCTGCAGTTGATGGTTAATGGCGATAATTGTCACGGACTTTGTCCTCGAGATCGTTGGAACTTCTATATGTATGCACTTCTGTTCAAGATACAGTAGTAATCTCATACAAAACGTGATAATTACGTTATGGATATTTATGCAAATATATATCATGATGGATACGATTAAAAAAATAGGATCTACTTAGAGATATAATTTATTCGGCAAATATTTTAATGAATATCGTATTTTAGATATTTTGTGTATCTTTTGTATTTTGTACTACATATATTTCATAGATCTTCATCAAATTTCTCCTAAATGCATGAATTGATTTAAGTGTTCGTAAGTGTGCTAATATTTATGAACAGTAGAGTGGAAAACGTGAACGTGAACAGAACGTGAAAGTAGTGCGTGTACAAAGAGAGATAGGGCGATAAAGATAGATTAGTTTCAATAATACTTGATATGCTTATTAGATTTGCTTTAGCACGAAAAGTGTAAATCTGTCGTGGTAAATGAAGTTCCTGGATTCTTTCATGAAATTTCTTTGAAGTCGTTCGTGAAATTGTGAAATAATTTTTCAAATAATTACAGCTACCGGTGATTGCTTTTGTGACGAAGCAGTATTAAACAGTTTAATATAAGAATAGAACGAATGCGAAGCCTGTCATTCCTGTAGTAGATGTGTATGAGATATACTTTACTTCAATATATGTAATTCTAAATGGAAGAAATATTTCGTTATTTTATACCATTCTCTGTGATAATACATATTTAAATTTATATTGAGAAACGAATGTTAGTTTTATGTTGGTAAAACACCAGTCGTAAAAAAATTAATCTATACGTAATGGAAAATGAATGTGTCACATAATTCCTTGCAAAAATTCATTAATTCTACCAAAATAATAAACGAATAATATATATTTCTTAAACGTGGCAATACAATGACGTACGATTGTCACAATGGAATACAATTGGAAATGAAATATCCAGGTAACAATATTTTAATTATTTCCATTTCATTCGGCACTAATTTAACGCAAATATCCCTCATTATTTGAAACTATGAATTTCATCAACAAAGATTTCTAAATCTAAACTAAAAATATACAGTTCTGTTCGCGTCGCGTATACATATACTTAAAAGAAAAGTTCATTCCTCTTTCACTCCCCACGGTACGGCCGGTCTATAGAATCAAAAGGAAACAAGAAAAATGAAGAGCGCCAACGCTCAAGAGAGCAGAGGTGGCCGCGTTGAAGGTGTTCGCCGCTTAAATCATCGTGAATTCAATTACGATCGCAAGCGACGTTTCAGCGGTGGTTCCAAAAGCTGTGCTTTTTAATAACCTTGATCGTGGCGCATTGTCCCGACCTGGACGTCGGTCAATTACGCCCACCTATCTTATTTACACTCCTGGTCGAGCTGTTTTCTCCGTTTCTCTTCAGCGAGAGAGAATGTTCGTCGCGATAACGCGACGACACGACGTTTTCGCGATAGTCACGTAAAAACAGAAACAGCACGCCCGCGAGACCGCGTCTCGGGTTAATTAGATATTGAATTAATACTCCTAGGAGATACTCCTGGCACGAGTCAACTCGCATAACTCGCGAGAAAGCTTTTCCCCCAATCCTCTTTCGTTTCTGTCCTCTTCGATACTCTTCCTACGCTCTCACGCCCTCCTCTCCCATGGATCGGCCTCTTCTTCACGGGGATTTTAATTACCGGCGTATCCTTACTCTTAATTAATTATCGGCTCGTGCAACGCCTCTAAATAATTTTAATTAAAGTCGTTGAACGGGCCCGAGCCGATTACGAAATTTAATTACCCGCTCGCTGTTAAGTGGTTCGATGCCTTCGCAGCCCAAGCGATAAGAACGCCAAACGAGGCCCTCACTCAGGAATTTTGACCACGAATTTTGTTTGGTATTTGGCTTTCTATTTTTTTACACCTCAAAGAGCTTCGTTACGTTTGAGAAATTCTGCTTATTGAAATATATTGGTCCTATTTGGAGGATACTTGAGTTAAGATATATGTACATCGGGGATATTTATCTGTTGAATTTTGGAGCAAGTTTGGGTGAACTTATATTTGAAAATTCGCAATTTACTCAGTAGTGAAAGAAATCTCAGTTTTTATTGTTTTGTGATGGCTGTAACGTTTGATATGGATTTTTTGATGAAATTTCAATCATCCATTCATGGTGAGAACTATCGATGATTCTTTTCCAAAGGTGTTGCGTTTATAGTTTCCTCTTTGGCGTTAAATCTTCTTGATACCAATCGATTATGCTCTTAAAGAATCAGATAATCCGCTAAAAACTGGAAGTCGTTCGATAACTCCTGGCTATAACGCCTCGAAGCAGTAGAGCACCCGTATTATCCAGTAACCTTCATACATACCGCCTAACCTGCTTCATTTCTCACTGCATATTACGGCGGCGCTCTTTCCAGTTAGTACGCATATTTTGTTAATTCAACTAAAAACCCCTGATCTCATTAACCCGTCCCACGTAACGTTCCGCGGCGCAGTTACCTTCAGAAGAGTTCCAGCTTATTTTTTTTCCTCGCATGCCACGCCCCCCCTCCGCGTCCCTCGACCTCAACTCTTTTTAATACCGAGTACCAATTAGGACAACGGCGGAGTAAGTTCTGGTGCCCCTCTTGAGCCG